GTGGGCTCGATTTGGCCCAGGGGCCAAAAGTTTGCCCCTCCTCTCTCAAGTAGTATTTCTTCGGATTCCTCTAAACTGCTTTGGATTTCTCCTTCTCTTCTGTTTTTACCTGGCTGTGTAATGCAGCCATGTCCACGAGGCAGTAGCCCCACAGATAATAATTAGTAAAATGAAGTATTTATAGCTAGCTCAAAAATTATCATTTTCTATAAGAAAAAAAAATCTTGATATAGGTTCTTTGTATTGGAAGAGCCTTTACTCTTCGTTATTTTGAGCTATGAAACAGCAAAAAGCCTAAAGTCAGTTGGGGGAAAATAACTGTTCTAAGCACTCGGGGTACAGTGATAACCAAGATAGATGTGAACCTTGCTCTCGTGGATTTTATACTATTGGAGGGAGACAGAATACACATGTAGATAAACAAGGAACTATCTGATGTGCTATGTGTTCTGAAGGACATAAAATAGGGTGATGAATAGGTGGTCCAAAAAGGCCTGTCTTAGCTGAGACATGAGTAATAAAAAGAGTCCAGCCATGTAAAGACCTGGACACAGGGCATACCAGGCAGAGGGGACAGCAAGTGCAAAAGCCCTCCTAAGATGGGAGAAAGCTGGTATTTTTGAGGAAAAGAAGGCAGTGTGCTTGAGCTTGGGAAGAGGGCGGGCGGGAGTGGCTGAAACTTGTAGAGGAAACAGAACTGGCTTATATGGGGCCTGTAGGCCATGGTAAGGCGTGTGCATATTACTCTAAGTAGGGTAACCTTTGAGGGGTTAAGCTGAGGAGTGACACGGTTTGATTTCTCTTTAAAAAAAAAAATTCCGGGCCAGCTGAGTGGCGCATTGGTTAGGAGTTGGCTTGGGACGCCAGCTCTGAGCAGCAGGGCCCCGGTTCGGATCCCACATAAGGGCCAGTGACACTGTGCCCTCTACAGCTAAGATGGTGAACAACAGCTGAGCCTGGGGCTGGGCTGCTGTGAGTCGCCCGCGATGGTGTGGGCTGCTGTGGGCTGCCGTGAGTGGCCAGCAGTGGGCATGAGTTTTCGTGAACTTTTATGAGCTGCCGTGAGCGGCCGTCCAATGGCCGGCGAGCGACTGCCTCACCCGGGAAGAGCACAGTGATAATACCAACATGGGCCAGTGAAGTGACGTCCTCCACAGCTAGACTGAAGAACAAAGGGACAGTTCCCCTTCCCTGATTCCCCAACGCTGTTCCCCTCCCCCAATTCCCCAATAAAATCTTAAAAAAAAAAATTTGCTCTGGGTGTTTTGAGAATGGATTGTAAAACAGCAGGAGAGGAAGTGGGATGACCAGTTAGGTTCTTGTGGTTGTGTGTATGGGAGATTAGAGTGGTTTGGACCAGGCTGGTGAGAGTGAGGATGGAGAGAAGTGAATACATTTGGGGTATATTTCGGAAGTGAAGTGTCAGAACTTGCTGATGTACAGGACAAGGGAAAGGAAAGAATAGGGTGATGTGGTGGTATCCTGAAGCAGAGGACATGCAGATGTGAGAGAAGGCCTTTTGGTGAGGGCCGTGGGAGGGAACCTGTGTGTGGGAAGGGTTATGCAAATGAGATAGAATTAAAGGAGCAAGGTTTTCGGAGGAGGAAAAAAATAGATGTGGTCTGAAGTAGCACTTTCAAACTTTAATGTACCTACGAATTCCCTGGAGTCTTGTTAAAATACAGATTCGTATGTTTGAGGTGGGGCTGGAGAGTGCATTTTTAACTCGTTCTTTGATTCAAACACCAGCCACTCTAGAAGTAGTCTCAAGATCATCATTTGATTATTATCTTCTATATGGAGTTCTGTATATGAGCTCATTTCCTTTAACACCACAGAAGGGCACATACCTTTTAAGCGTACCTTTTCATGTGTTTTCCCTACCTGAAAATATTCGTAAGGCCTCCAGAAAGTATCTCCCAGCCTGCTTTTGCAGGTCCAGGTGGTTTTTTGTTTCTTGTTTTTTAATAGATCCTTGCCTTTCTTTCATTCCCCACCAGAAAGCAGTAGAGAGCTGGCTTCTCTCTCCTTTCTCCTCACGTCAGTAGTCGCCCAGGCCCTACTCCTTCCCTCTTGTCACTAGCTCATTTACCATCCGCAATGAACTTTCTTCAAAGTTTAGCCATTTTCCGGGACCACATTTGTGTACTTGCGGCCATTCTACTCTGTGATCAATAGGTCATTTTACCTCTGAGCCTAGTTTCTCTATCAATAAAACTAAAAAGTTGGGGTTGATGATTTCTTAAGGGCACTGTAGCTTTGCATTTTTATACTAGAAATAACTAATATGCCTGCAGGGCTTTAGACTTTATACTCTCTTGACAACCCAGTCTTGTGTCTGCCTGTAGCTGGCTTTAAACTCTCACCCGTCTAAGTATTCATGACTTACCGTCAACCATCACGTCCTGCCTTCCTCGTTCTGCTTGACGTCCATCTCCCCAGTTAGCTGTGGGTGTGGGAACGGACTCAGTCCCGCATCATTAGGCTTTAAGTTGGGATCCACACATTCTTTCTCCACTTTCCGTGTCTCAGGCTTTCTGTGTCCTCCTCTCTTTTCCTTCCCTTTCCTGATTCTGTTATTCACCAGGATTTCATTCTGTACAAGGACTTGTGTTCAGTGTCCAGTATCTTTTTTGTCCTGAGTGCCAAGTGCATCTTGTGGGAAGCAGATGACACTCCCGAGGTGCCCACCAGAGAGCAGCCTTGGATATCCAGAGCTCACTGCCAGTTTTGTACCTTTGGGAACGGAATGTGATTTCACAACAGCAGAGTCTCTTATCAAGAAAATATAGAATCTGGGACCCTGGAGATTATACTTTGGAGAAATTTTTTTTTTTTAATTTTATTGGGGAATTGGGGGAAGGGGAACAGACAAGTTGCTGTCGTTTTGTTCTTCAGTCTAGTTGTGGAGGACGTTGCTTCACTGGCCCAAGTTGGCACCATCATTGCGCTCTTCCCGGGCAAGGCAGATGAGTCGCTGGCTTCTGGACGGCCGCTCACTGCGGCTGCTGGCCATTCACGCTGGCTGCTGGCTACACATGGTAGCCCATGGCAACCCACTGCCACAGGGGCTGCAGCCTACGCCGTTGCCGGCGACTCACGGCAGCCCAGCTCCAGGTTGAGCTGTTGTTCAGCATCTTAGCTGTAGAGGGCAGTGTCACTGGCCCTCATATGTGGGATCCGAACCATGGCCCTCTAGTGTCCCAAGCCAGCTTTTAACCAACACTCCGCTCGGCCAGCCCATCAGCATGTTTTTAAAGAGAGCAGAATCCCACTTCACACTCCTGAATTCAAACTTCATACCAGTCATTGGATGAGAACTTTTGATTTAAGAAAACTGTTTTTAGAGGCAGCCAGTTAGCTCAGTTGTATATTTACTGAATGGCATACGCCTGTGTAAGAGTAAGAAAAATCAGGTCATGGAGTTTAGATTTGTTGTAGGAGGTGACAGGAAAGCATTAGTGACTTCAACAGGAAAGCAACTGGAAGGAAGTGGTATTTCTAAAATTATTCCTTCTGTGGTGATGTAGAGAATGCAGTAGTGTTCAGATCAGCTATTCTATCTAGGTCATATATAGTGCTGGATGCTACAGGAGACACCAAATATCCATGACCTGGTCCTTATCCTTAAGAAGTTTATCTTTTAGAGAAACCCAGAAAGTTACAGTGAAGGATAAGTGCTTAATCCATGGCGTTATGGAAATAGCACTGAAGTCAGATCTGAATTCAAATCCTAATTCTGCCATTTATTGGCTTTATGTCTTCAGTCAAGCTATTTATTTCCCTGAGCCTTGGTTTCTTTCTCTATTAAAAAAAAATGGGAATAATATCTATTACTTTCGTTGAGAGGAATAAGAGATACGGTGTTCAAAGATGGTAGTGTGGACAATAGACATTCAATGAATGTTTCCTTTTTTTAAACCCTGTGTCTGTGGAATAATACTTTTTTGAGGGGACTGTATGTGACCTCAGTTCACAGTGTGGTTCTCCCACTTACTGGCTATGTGACCTTACTTAGGTTCTTAATTTCTTTGAGTATTGATCTTTTTTGAAAAAAGAAAACAAGGAAGGGAAATTACATCTTAAGAGAGTGTTTTGAGAATTAAGTGAACCTAGCAGATATGTAGTATATAGCACAAAATAGGCACACTTAATAAATATAAGATTCATCTCTCTTGAATGTAATGAAATATACAAATGTGTAATACAAATAAGGCAGGTATTAAGCGATGAAATTGGATCACAGTGGTAACGGGCAGAGAAAAAAGAGGCAGATCATAGTGTTACATTTTTTTAAAGAAACAGCAAATTTTATATAGAAGAGGAAGTACTTTCTATACTCTGACCTTACTCTCTCTGTATTTCTATTTTTGTCTTTCTATAAGATGGAAATAATATAAAATGTATCCTTGGATTGTAATAATGCTAACTTGAAGGTGTTGTGACATCATGAGAAAATATATCGCAACCCAAAAAATAGTACCTTACAATTAAAAGTTACTCTTATTTAATAATACCTTTAATAGACATTGTCATCCAAGATCCATCTGAAAAGTTAATGATTTTCCTGAGTGGAGACCCCTATCACAATCAAAGCAAAACCTAGGAGAATAAATGGAAGGAAATCCATTTATAAAATATATGTCATTTTTGGTCACTTGATACAGAATCAGCAGAGCCACAACCCTGATCTTGTGTATCAGTGGTGAGCAGTTTCTTGGCTTAGGAAGTTTTATTTGTAGGGCAAATACTGAGCACTAAATATTGACATTTCAGAATTGTATTGTTCAGAGTGTTTGTTTAAGAACTCAGAAGTTGACTGATATCAAATCCTAGATATCAACCTTCCAGTTTTTGGAACAATAATTGATTTCCGGTGAAGTTCCTGGCATGAATTTAGCCTCTGATTTTGGTGTTTGCCAAGCTTGAGGAAAATGAAGAGGTAAATGATAACACTTTTCCCGTAACCATCACTCATCTGTCCTCCCCCTTTCTTCCAGATATTCCGAGTGGTGTGCATTTGTTTGGGTAACCCACCAGAGACATTCACCTGGGAGTATCGAGACAAAGATAAAAATTATCAGAAGATTGGCCCCATAACACCCTTGGAGTTTTACAGGGAACATGTCAAGCCACTCTTCAATATGGACAATAAGGTTGGAGACTGGCACTGCCTGTTGACTACAAGGAAGGGTATAAGATTTTCTGGGTGAACATGCATCATCATCAAACTAGAAACTAAACAAACTCCCCCCCCCCTCCTCTAAGGTATTTTATGGACCTAATAAAGTTGATCATATTAGGATCCACAGTGCATCTCTTCAGAGACTTTTCTAACTGTAGGCCAATCAGTTTAATTTCCACGTGCCCCCATGATTTGGGCCCAGAATCATTCAGGTGCAGACAATAAATGTCTGTTGGGCGTTTCTTACTGTGGTTTCAGAGCACCTCTGTTCTGTGCCCCCTACTTCCCCCCGCCCCACCCTGGGGATGCTCCCGGGAAAGAACAGTCTCCCATCTTAGTTTCTCCTGCTCTCTTCAGGTCTAATCCACTGCCTAGCAAGATGACCAGAGCCCCATTCGTCATCTTAACCTTGACTCTCTTGTAAGCAAATGGCTTTGTTTTAAGATCAGAATCCCAACTCAGTTGAAGTGTGGCCGGGTGTTGAGCCTGTCTTGTAACTTGAGAACAGGGATCTTGTAGTTATGGGATCTCCATCTTGCCTTGCAATTCTTCGGAATTAGTTTTGGGGCAATTCTTGCCAGTAGGAAAGCTGCAGCTCCCACATGTGTCCCTTGCCCTAATTAGAATCTACAAGGACTTCTGTCAACACACTTTGCCACCTTTTGTTACTTTATTTAACAGTGTGTTTGTAATGCTTGTTCTTGTAGGCAGAGGTATTGAGTTTTGGTGCAGACATGTGAACTTAGAGGAGAGGTGTGTGTCTTCCTGGACATTCCTGGTTTTATGTTCTAATCAACATGTGTTTGATCTCAATAGATTTGCTTAGTGAATGACCCTCGGCCCCAGCACAAGTACAATAAACTTTACACCGTGGACTACTTAAGCAATATGGTTGGAGGGAGAAAAACTCTATATAACAACCAGCCCATTGACCTCTTGAAAAAGATGGTTGCTGCCTCCATCAAAGATGGAGAGGTTGGTATTGTTTCTGTGTCTTCTGCATTGGGATTAAAACCTCTCCTTCCACTTCTTTGGTTTAATAGGAAGATGGGATTTATGTTGACTTCCTTTCTCTTTCTTTCCCCTATTTCTAGGCTGTGTGGTTTGGCTGTGATGTTGGGAAACACTTCAATAGCAAGCTGGGCCTCAGTGACATGAGCGTGTGAGTACAGGAAACTTAAAAGAGGAAGTCATTTGTGAGTTGTTGCTGTTGGAGTGCACTCTTGGTGTGAAATGACTCGGCCGAGGTTCACAGAGAGTAAGGCTGGCCCGAGGGTGGGTCTCTCTCTTTCCATCTTGTAGGGTTTGAGGACTCATAGCAGAAACCCCACATACTTAATATGCTCTGACCTGGGAAGTCAAGATCATACTTCGTGTCTGAATTGAAATGATTGGGTATGTGCCTGAAAAGCCATCCTACATGAGAAAGGCACTTTGAAAAAATAATTGATTACTGCGTAAATCTGCTCAGTGCATTTGGGAATGTAATGAAAGATTTTCCACGTATCTGGTTGGCTGTTTAATCCTGCTTAGCTACTTCTCTTACTTTGATGCATACGTATTTTGTCTTTTATGACAACTGGGACTAATTTACACTTTAACACATCCCTCCTGATTATTGATGGCAGTGAAGGTTCATTTGTGAACCAAATCATACAAGATTTCTTGACAGTTAGAGTATACCACTTTAGGGTTACTTATAAGTAATCGTTATTTGTAGGAAGTTGAGTAAATAACTGGACAGTTAACAACAAGATAAAAGAAATCTGCTAAAAGAGAGAGTTAGTGATTTTTTTTAACTTTGAAAATATTCTCCAGTATTTTTGACATTATTTAAATTTCATAGTCAACAATGGTCTAAATGAATGTAGAAACTGGGTGGTTCTACCAGTTTAAAAGAGAGACCATTTTTGAAAGAAGTTACTTCAAAAGCTTTTTTAAAAGTTTTCTTGCCGAAATGACAGTGCAAGCCTGTCTTGTCAGCCTTTTTTATTTGGGGAATTTATATTTAATCGCTTCATATTTTCTTGGGTACTCTTCTGCCACGTAGAGACTGGAATCCCATTGAGAGATTAAATTCTGCATGTCCCCAGTTCTCTGAAGAGGCTACAGCACATATGTACTTAGAGCTATTGGGCCCCTTCAGCCCTGTGTTTCTTTTACAACCGGAAGCTAGCTTTCCCCTTGATTGTACTCTCTTTATTCTGTACTGTTATTTATTTATTTATTTATTTATTTATTTAACAGCTATGACCATGAATTAGTATTTGGTGTCTCCTTGAAGAACATGAATAAAGCCGAGAGGTTGACTTTTGGTGAGTCACTGATGACCCACGCCATGACCTTCACTGCTTTTTCTGAGAAGGTATGACCCTTACTCTGCGTGCCTACTGCAGTGTGTTTGCGCAGCTGGCCCCGCCCTTCTCCTGCAGATTCTTTACCCAACAGAGCTTCATTCATAGTATTGGGCTGTCGAAAAAGTCATGACATATTTTTTCTATGTTTTTCATCGCAAAAATGCATCATGACTTTTCCGACAACCCAATATATATAACTTCTATTAACAGTTAGGTTCCCAGCAAAACATCATACCCGTGTCACTTGGGGTTTTGCTGCATGCTCAGAGGTAATAAAAATAGGAACTTTTCATGAGGAGCAGAATTTGGGTCAGCAGGGAGTAAGGAAGTGACTCCTTTTCTGTAACTTTGGGAGTTCTTGGTGTGAAGCGAGGTCAGCAGGGGAATCTGGGAGAAATAATTTCTATTGAATAAGGAATTTAAATGTGAACTCAGAGTGTTCATAACATTCAGACTTACCTTCCTTTCATCTGTCATTCAGATTCGGCTGTAGTCAAATCTCAGTAACTAATTTGTGGGCTCTGTGCCCATTACTGGATTTAGATAGAGCTGCAGGAAATTGGATGTAAAGTATTTTGAATTTCCTGAGAAATACTCTGAATAGTAATGTCACTGTTTCTAGGACCACAGGGTTGGAAACAGCAACTGTTTTTTTTACAACTGGAATTTTATCTTTTACAAATAAGCCTCTCCATTTCTAGGCTGTAGAATGGATATTTTACACCTGTGCTCAGGGATCCTAAGGAAGAAGATACTTCAGACTACTTCAATTCTTTATCACCTTAAGCAAAAAGGTTCTTCCTAACCTAATTATTAGAAAGAAAGTCACAGAGTAACTAACTACCTTGACCTTAGAAGGAACTTTTAATAAAATATGGTAAATAATAAAATACTAGAGCAAATAAAATACTATTAAAATACCAAGTCCGTATTTATATGTTTGGACCTGCTATATTGTAAAATTCAGTGGATTTAGAACTAAAGCTCTGTAAGCTAAAGTTAAACATTTTTTTAAAGTTAAACTTTTAAATTATTTAGAGGACTATTAAGAAGCAAATCTAAAAACCTTGTAATTTCTAAGAGCGGTTTGACTTTTTATCATTTTCCATCTCTGTTATAGAGTATTCCTATTTTTCATAAATAAAAACCATACATACCATGTCATTTTCTCAGGAACGTTCATTCATTGATTGGCATGGCTTATTAACATGCCATTTCTTCCTCAGAAATGCAGCTACCTTATATGCTAACAGTATAAAGCAGAATTTATATTATCATAACTGGAACTTCATATTTTCTCCCTCCCAGTTTGAATCTTTGACCACTAAAACTAGTTTGCATTGCCTTTGCATGATAATGCAGAGGTAAGTGCCAGTAACTGCGTTCTGGGATATTCTTTCTTGTTGCTGATTTCTTAGAATCTCTATGAGGGAGATCCAGGTATCATTCTATATTTGTAGATGACACAGGGAACATCTTAATCTGGGTCATGCAGGAATTCACTGGCAAAGGGAAGAAGAGGAAATATTTTCAGACTTATTATAATAAATGACCTTAGGTGATGGAGATCCTAGCAGTGGTATTTAAAAGGAAAGTAAAGATGGAGTAGAAAACCAAAACAGACATTTTAGTAGGCTAACCCTAGAATGTATAGTTTAATGATGTAGTTTTGAAGGTACCTGGGCTAGTACAGATAAGGGTCTTTGACACTTGTGAGTTTGGTGGTTAGCTATTTCTGAGACTGAAAATCATTGAGATCCAAGAAAACTGCCAAGAGTAGAGTCAGTCAAATCCCATGTAGATGAGACTCATGCAGTTATATGCAAGTGGGGGTTGACTGATAAATCATTAGGAGATAACGCAGGAGCCAGCTCTCTTCTCTTGCTACAAAGATTAAAAAGTTGTTTTGACATCGGCGAATGCCGTGGTAAACGTAAAAGAGGAAAGTTTTTTTCCCAAATGGAGCCTTCCTCTTGTCCTCCTCTGTGTCACTGTAGTAAAAACTGTAAGTGAAGGTTTTTATGGTGCATATCATCGCTCCTTTAAGAAGATGAAAATTGAGCTTATTTTAGTAATGAAGATAGATGAGGGAGAGAGCAGCAGTACTGCCTGGGTTTTGTTTTATGAAAGTAGTCTTTTTACTTCTGCTTTGCCATTCAATCTCTGTTGTATAAAATTCAATATTAGTGTAACTGAATCAGTAAAAGAACACATTTGGAGAGTATCATTACTTGGTTCCCCTGCATAGGACATTAGGCAGCATGATGAGAATGTGTTTGTTTTCTTTTTAAAACTCTAACCAGATATTAGAATCATTTCTAAAATAGCTACAGCGGGATGCGTTTGCAAAGAATGCTGGTCAATTAAAAGCAAGAGTCCCTGGCTTTCAGATGGTGTTCACTGCTTTTAGTAATTTAATGTTTTGTTTTTCTTAGCCAAGTAGGACTTTAATATGCTTATTTTCTGTATAGAGTAGAACGTAAAACAGAAAATAGTATGTATTGCTTTGTTAGGTTCGTTGCATTTTTACCCCAAGAAATTCGAACTCCACTTCTGTTAGTGTCAGAAGTAAAAATCATACATACCATGTCATTTTCTCCAGAGCTTTCATTCATTGATTGGCATGGCTTATTAAGATTATTCTATCCCTTAATCTTTAGTTATAGAAGAAAATATATGGCCCCAATCATGTATATCATGGCTGTATAGAGAAGGCTGTTTCTTCTGAGTGGCTGAAGAAGAGCTAAAATCACCTGACACCTCACCAGGAGGGATCTTGTTTCAGACTACACATTGTTATCCACTCCTTTGCAGGATGATCGGGATGGTATGTTCCTGAAATGGAGAGTGGAGAATTCATGGGGTGAAGACCTTGGCCACAAAGGTGAGCTTCATGTGGTAACACCAACTCAGGGTGACTGGAGCCTGCTCTCTCTGCTTCCTAAGAGATAGGGGTAGAAAGCTGCCGTACCATGGAGCATTTTTCAGTAATTGGTCCCGTTGGATAGACTATTCTAGAGAAAAATCTGAGGATCTGGCTTGTCCCCAAGTTCCCTCTGACCATCATGGCATGGTTGACTCTGAGACCAGTGTGTGCTGGCAATTCCTTCCAAACCATGCTAACCCGACCAGACCTCTTTGTACCAGAAAAACTTGGCCAATGAGAAGGTTGAATGCCCTTTGCTAGGACACTTGCTGTACGAATATATATAGCACTTGGTGCGTTTTCATCTACCGTACTAACTCCCTGCAAAGTCAGAGCCTTCTGAGTGGGAGAATGGGATTGGCAAGAAACTTGAGGCATTTATTGGAGACTCTAGACATTGTGAAGCCTAAAAAGGAAAAGAACACTTTGTTTTATTCTGACAAATCAAAACCCAGGCAGAAGTCATAAGTAAATTATAATCATTATATTGGGTCGTCGGGAAAGTCATAACGTATTTTTCTATGTTTTTCAATGCAAAAATGCGTCATGACTTTCCTGACGACCCAGTACTAAAAAAAAAAACAAGAACCCCAGGTAATATATGAGTTGTAGAAAAGTAAAAAATATAGATAAGCAAAAAGAAGAAAATGAAAATCTCTAATAATCCTACCACCCAGAGATCACCATTGATAAACAGTTCAGGGTTTTTCTTGCAAATTTTTGAGACCGTATTTTTAAAGACTTTTTCATAGTAGAGAAAAGCTTTTTACGGAGCTTTTATGCTTTACTATTTAGGGCTTCAAACCCAAAGTGGGGACTACTATAGAGTAATTATGCACATGAGCATGTATTTGCATGTGTGCTACGTGCTGGTGGCATTTTGGAGCCAGCTCTTTTCCAGAGTTCACATTCTCACTTTTAGCCAGTGGATTCTGGCTGGGAAAAACACGTTCACCACAGCTTACTAGACTGGACAGAAGTCTTGGAGGAAGGAAGTAGGGAAGCCAGTGAGATACCCAGACACTTGAAATCAGACTTCAGCATACATCTCACCCAAGCAAGAATCAGCTAAAATTTTCTTAAAGAAAGAAAAAGAAACAGAGAGAGGGAGGGAGGACGGGAGGGAGGGAGAGAGAGAGAGGGAGAGGGGAAAGAAGAAAGAGGAAAGGAAGAAAGGAAGGAAAGAAAGAAAGAAAGAAAGAGAAAGAAAGAGATCTCAGCAACTCTTTGCCTGTTGCCTCCCTCTATGTTTAGGAGCTTTCCAACTATTATTCCTCAGAGCCCCAAGATTTCCAAAGGTAAAAAGGTGGAGGAGGAGAGGTGTGGAGGTTTGGAAGTAAGCAGATGGGGTTTCAGTCATTCATATTTGAAAACTTCTGTCTTAGAAGAGCCTATTAACCTGAGTTTTGAACTTGACAGGACTTGAGTGTGCTGGATTTGAGCAGCACAGGTGGGTAGATGCTGGCCAAAACCTCAAGGCCATTTTAATCTGTCCTTGCAAGTCTTTTCATCTCCCCATGAGGTGATCATTGGTGGGTTTGGCTAAGTAACCCTAGGATCTGCTGTGAAACTCAGCAGTTGAGTGTTTCTATATAAACACACACAGTGCTGTTAGTGCATTTCTGTTCATCGTAAGGTTTGCATGTACCCTCTCTGTGATTGCTGTTGTTATTCTGTGATTACATGGTGCTTGTTAAATTACTATTATGAATTAAAGTGCAACATATTTTTAATTGGTTATTTATTACAAGATGAATTTCATTTTAAGACAAATACACGTTGCGATCAGGTAGAGAGGGGGTATAAGCCTTAACAAAGCCAGCAGAAAGATTAAAAATAAACAATTCACAGTTCACTTATATCTGTGAATTGGTAAGAAATGGGTACAAAGGAATAGCTTTTCTTGAATTGGAAGGATTTGAGAAGCTGTAACATTTCAAAACATAAGAAACTGCTTCAGATGAACCACTATAGCTTCTGTTTCATTTTTAGTCTCATTCTCGTCTAGCTGGGTTTGTTATCATGAAGGTTAGTGTCCAGGAAAAGGACTAAAATTATGGTTTGTTTAGATGAGCCTGGATCTGTTGGCTTGCTCCTGTGACTTTTTTTTTTTATCTTTATCAGTCACTGAGTTTATAGATAGTAGTGATATCCACTTAGGAGAAGATAAACACTCCTAAAGTCAAGCAAATGCTGTGTTTTGGGTAGTGTGAATTACTGTCTTTATTATTTTGAACCTAAATACCTACTCTTAAAAAAGATTCTGGGCCACTTGGCTATTTTTCTTTTTTCATTCAACTGTACCTCTTTACTCCTACTCAGTAAAAGTTTTGCTTTCGCTGACTTCCTCTGTTAGTACATTCGTCTCCTCTGTATCCACGGGGGATTGGTTCCAGTACCCTGCGGACACCAGAATCCACGGATGAGTAAACCCTTATACCGTGTTTCTCTGAAAATAAGCCCTAGCTGGAGGAGAAGCCCTAGCATGATCCTTCCAGGATATAGAGGGCACGCACCCCTCACACGAGGGTTTTATGACCTGTTTCAGGGAGAAGGGTGCCTTTTCCACAAACTCCTTCAGCTTAAAATATTCAGCATGCCAAGGTGCCATATTTTGGCACCTAAAGTCATGCGAGGACTTATTTTTCGGCTAGGGCTTATTTTCGGGGAAACGGTATAAAATGGTATAGTATTTGCACACAACCTACGCCCATGCTTCTGTATACTTTAAATCATCTGTAGATTACTTATATAACTAATACAATGTAAATGCTTTGTAGATAGTTGTTATTTACAAAGCATTTACATTGTATTGGTTATAGGCAATAACTAGATTGTTTTGTTAACTGTATTGTTTAGGGAATAACGACAAGAAAAAAGTCTGTACATGTTCAGTGCAGACACACCCACTGTAGGCCTAACTACGTAGTACATACACATCAGCTACAACATAACTTTTTTTTTTCTCCAAATATTTTCCATCTATGATTGGTTGAATCCGTAGATGTGGAACCCGCAGATACAGAAGACTGACTGTGTGTTGAGAGAGCTGGGGTCTTGATCCCAGCGGTCTGCCTGTAATCCTTCCTAGTGAAATCTACAGCTGTCCAGTTAAGATTAAAGTAACTTTTTTGTTCTCAGCAACTGGAATGTCTGAGTCTATACAGAGCACAGCATTTCAGTAGAGAGCCAAAAGATAATTGAACTGAGTGGGGGTAGAGAATAGTTCATTCAGAGCCAAAATAAATTATTCTCATGTATTTCTTGGTAATGAAGACTTAACAGGAAGGAAGGAAAGAAAACATGATCTAATTGAATTGGCACACTTGGCCTGACCTTAGGAGACTGTGTAGTATGTTATTATGCTGGCGATGTGTGTTTACCCCAGCAGGGCCCTCCTGTCTGTCAACCCTGGTGGGTATTGGCTAGCACGTCTGAGGCAGAACCTCTGTTTGTGCTCTCTCAGGAGACGGGACAATCTTAAATAGCATTGCTGGGATTTTGTTTCTGTAGATAACGTTAACAGTTTGTTACTATTCTCTTTAGGATTTCTGCCTGTTAAGATTGATGGTTTCTGAAAAAGCAGTGTTGGTAGTACAAGCTGGAGTGAAAGAGATCAGAGTTACCTGGGCAGGCTGCCCTTGCCCTCTGCCCCGTCCTGGCTTTAGTCTTCCCATGGTCATGTTCACCACCCTTCCTGACCAGAGACTACTAAAGTAAATCAGATAACCTGACTCTTTCGCCACATGCACACAGGTTCCTTCTGATCACAAGAGACATAAAAGGAGAAATTAATTCTTGTCTTACTGGGCCTGTTGCATTACTTCGTGTTGTGAATTCTAGCTGTTAGTCAGCTGACTAAAAATTGGATGCATATCTAACATGTACAACCAACATGGCGTTCTTTTCTCCCCTGCTTGAAATGTTTGTGCATTTTGTACCTTATTTATGGATCATGTCAGAAATAGATTTCACAATTAGATGAAGGAACAGATCGTGGGACTTGTTACGTTGTCTCTCATTTTTAAAAGTTGATAGGCTTGTTAGAGTAAATAGTTTGTAAAAGTTCATCTGAGAAGAGCATAATCTTTAAGCCAAGGTGACACCAGTCTGACACTAGAGCCTGTTTTCTTAACCACTAAAATGTGCTTCCTCTCAGCTTCTCTGTTCTAGTAGCATCTAATCCACTCATGGAAATAACAGATACTTCCTTGTCTTTGGTGACCAGAAACTAGTGGCCCAGGGGACATAAAACTGTATAAAGGATCTGAAGACATCATGTAAATGTCTGATGTCAGGAGAAAGGGCCCTTGAAGCACCATTTTGGCTGGGAACATGAATAAGGAGGTGGGGTGGGTATCTGGTGAGAGTGTGTGCCCAAAGTCAGCATACTGTGAGTTGGGCAATTGAAAGACTGTATGTAACGACCCCAAATTTCCCAGAATTATTTTGCACATGCTGCTTTATAATATGTTTTTTAATGTTGTTGTTAAGTTTTTATCATGGACAATTTCAAGCATATATAAACAGCATAGTATTAAGGACCCCCTCCCACCATGTGCCCATCACCCAAGCCCTTAAGTCTGGTACAGCAGAGCTCTGAACGTAGAATTATCACTGCATCGTTCTTAATGCTTATTTAAGTCTAAGTTTCTTAATATGCTGAATAATACAGCTTTTAAGTGAGGGTAGGGGCAGTGTTATTCTCTCATTCTTCAGTGGTCCCTGAAGGAAAAATCTTTATCTTTTTAAAAATTCTGTCGTGGTTTTCATTTTGAACCAAGATGAGCATCCCATTTTTCAGATTGCTTCTGTGCCTTTCAGATACATGACCATGTGAAATTGTTTTGAACCCACATTCTTCATCTTTCTTACAAATAAGCCTCTCTGTTCCTGATTTCATTTTAGGAAGATTTCCAGATTTCCTCCTGAAAGGGTCTCTTAATGACCTCAGTTGT